CTTCCGCCGGAGCCCAGCCGGGCCGCGCGCTCCCCTGCGTAGCAGTCTCTTTCCTGCCCCCCTGTTGCCCGCAGGGTGAAGTCCAGCCTCCTGGCACACGCGGAGGGCTGGACGGGGGAAAGGCATCGCGGTTCTTTTGTGTCCCCGCAAGAGGAGCGGACCGGGACTTAGCGTGCTGTCGTGTGCTGGCCTCCAGAATAATACCTTCAGCTAAATCTCACGTCACGCCCCGGATTCGCATCCCACCTGACTTCCCCACGTGGACATGGAATAGGCTCCTTACATTGTCATGGGCAAAACAAAACTGTTGAGGTTCCCCTTTAACCCTGCCCCTCACGACTTGTTAAAGCAAACCCCTCCTCTTCCTTTCGCGCACACCTCCCAGCCTTCAGGGAGCCCTGCCAGCTCACCCTCAGGGCTCTATCTCAAATCTCTCCACTGCTCTTCATTTCCGTGGCCACATCCCCCAACAAACCACCGTCCCTTTTCGGTTGAACGACTACCGTCGCCTGTTGATTGGTCTCTCTTCTTCCCTCCGCCCCCCACAAGAGTTCTGCACGCTGCAGCGCAAGTGACTTAAAAAAATAAACAAACAAGATCTTGCTGCGCTACTTCAAACGCTCTGTGGCTTCCCATTGCTCTTTGGCATAAAGTCCAAATTCCTCACCACGGCCGCAAGACCCTACACGATCTGGCTGCTGCTACCTCTCCCCTTGTCTCCTAGCACCAGCGCTCTTTTCTTTGCCGGATACCGGCCTCGTTGGCCGTCTTTCTGTCCCACAGGCACGACATGTTATTTCTCACCTGAGCCTTTGCCTTTGATGTGCCTTCTGCCTGGAATGTCCTTCCGTGGCTTTGGCCCCGGCTGACTGCTAACTCCTCCAGGTCTCAACCCAGACACTCCCTGAGTGTCCTGTCTAAGGTGGCCCTCCCCAGGGTCTCCTCATCACAGAGGCCCTCACAGCCTCTGTGGCAGTCTTTAATCATCTTCTTAATTTATTTGCTTCCTTTTTGATCTCTTACCAGAATTTAAGCTTATGAAAACATGTCTTATTTTTTGCTGTAGCCTGTCTTGTCCTCTCCCCCTCTTCCCTGCACGTACAAAGTGCTCAGTAAATAGTTTAAATAATCGCATGATACTTGCATGCTGTAGAAGGGATTTCTGGAGCTCCTGGTACGACTGGGTAGACAGACTGGGTAACAAGAAAGGGCTCAATGACACTAGGTTGAATAATTCTGTGATTCTTACATACAGGGTCATCAGCCATTAAGGAACAGGCGGTAACCGTTTCTAAGCTTAGAAGGTGATTTGCCTCACAATTAATACTATGAGTTCCATTTTATTCATTCATTTATCCGTTCAAATAACAGTTTTGAGTACCTAGTATGTGCTGCACATGAGCTAGGTGACATGGGAGATAGAGATTTCTTGGAGGAGCTTAGAGTATGGTAGTGTTGACATTTACAGAAAAATATCCAAGACAGAGTGTGGTATCATGGGAGAAGGTATGAGGCTTTGTGGCTTCCAGAGGATCAGTCGGGACATTGGGAACTGCTCTCTGGAGGGGCTGTTTGGTCTGCAAGGTTAAGAATAGGCAGTATGTCAGCAAACAGCTGTGAAAGGGCATTGTTCTAGTCAGAGGGAACATGTTCTGTGCATGTGGCAATTGAAAAAAATTTTTTGAATTCAAAAAGTTTTGGAAATGCCACCTGCCTCGTAGCATTCCTCCCTGCTAAACACTTCACCTGGGCACCGGCTTGGTGTAGCTCCAATGCTTAGTAGTTACATGCACTTGGGGATATTATTTTGGACAAATAATTCAGCCTCTCTGAACCTCATCTGAAACATCATACTAACTTGGGGTGGCTGTGAGTCTTCATTGAGGTGCTGTGGAAGCTCCTGGCATGGCCTGGGTTAGGTGGTCAGGTGACCTGATACCAGTTCAGCCTGAACGAAGATAAGGGTGAACGTGGGCTTCACTCAGACTCTGAGCCGGTGCAGCTAGCAGCCAGTTTCCAAGGCAGCTTCCGGGAGAGCTGCTCTCTTTGCTGCGGTTCAGTGGAGGAGCACTTTGGTTGTGGTTTTGCTTGCAGGTGACACTGATTTGGCGACTCCTTGGTGTAATTTTAATAGCATCTCAGTGCATGCAAATGAAGGGGACACTTGGCTGCTTCCAGCAGCTCGGGAGAGAGAAAATAGTCTTCCACATTATCTCCTTGTTTCTAGTAGGCACCACTTGTTTCTGGATATTTAATCTCTGTGCTCATGCCTTTATTGATGGAGTTCATTAACTCCCTCAACATATTTCCTGAGCACCTGCTGTTTTCAGGCACTGTTCTAGGCACTAGAATTATAGTGGCGGACAGGACAGCCAAGGACCCTGCTCTCATGATGCTTATAATTTGCGGGAAATGGTAGGTAGGGCAGATCAGCTAAAGAGTAAATCCACAAGGTGACAAGAGCTGTGAAGAAGGCAGAACAGGTTGCTGTAATGAAACTGACATGGGGATGGGGAAGAAGCAGTGGTCACAGGAGGCGTGTATGAGGATGTGGCTGACTGAGTCAATTTGACTGTCCTGAAGGAGGCTCACATAGGAAATTCTAGGGGAAGAGAGTTGAAATCAGAAAGTTGAAAGACTCTTCAGAGGGAATGAGCTTGGCCAGCTGGCAGCGCACAGTGCACAAGGGGGCAAGTGGTAGGAATTGAGGGGCGAGGTGGGCAGGGCCCTTCGTTTGGAGACCAAACTAAGGAGTATGTAAAGTCAACAGATGGCCAAGCAAGCCACAGTGGTAATTCACACCCTGCTGAAATAACCATGTTAAGGTCAAGGAGGCTGGTTAGACATACAGTCACCCCTCGGTATTCACAGAGAATTGGTTCCAGAAGTCCTGCCTACACCCAGATCCGCCGATGCTCAGGTCCGTCACATAACACAGTGAAATACAGCCAGCCCTCCACATCTCTGGGTTCCAATCTGCAGATTCAACCAAAGTTCGATCCAAGGTTGGTTGAATCTGCAGATTTAGAACCAGAAGTATGAGGGCTGACTATACTGTAACTCTAGGTCTTGGAGTGTCCTGGAAATGGCTTCTTTTTTTCTTTTTTTCCTTTACTGTGCAAAAGTTTATGACTTTAATTAGGTTCGATTTGTTACTTTTTGTTTATTTCTCTTTGAGGAGACAGATCCAAAAAAATACTGCTAAGACCTACGTCAGAGAGTATACTTCCCTTCCAGGAGTTCTGTGGTTCTGGTCTTACATTTAGGTTGTTGATCCATTTTGAGTTTATTTTTATATGTGGTGTGAGAAAATGTGATTTCGTTCTGTTGCATGCAGCGGTCCGGTCCTCCCAGCACCACTTACCTACTGCAGAGGCTGTCTCTCTGCTGGCACTGTGGTCACCCTTTCTCTTGTCCATGTGAGTTGCAGGTGCTGAACCATCACTGCATCCTGGGAGTACATCTCGCTTCATCGTGGTGTGTGATCCTTGTTATGCATGGTCCAGTTTGGTTTGCGTCTGAGTTCATCAGGGACATTGGCCTGTGATTTCCTTTTTTGCAGTGTGCCTGTCTGGTTTTGGTACCATGGTGATGCCGGCCTCACAGGATGGGTTTGGGAGCGACCCCTCCTCTTCAGGTTTTCGGCATAGCTTGAGAAGGAGGGGGTTACCTCTTACACGTTTGGTGGGGCTCCCCCGTGAAGTCACCGGTTGTGGACTTTGCTTGTTGGGAGTTTTCTTTTTACTGATTCAATCCTAATGCTAGTGATCATTCTGTTCAGATTATGTTTCCTCCTCATTCAGCCTTGTAAGAGTGCTTGTTCCTAGGGAGCGTATCCGTTTCTTCTGGACGTCAACTTGCTGGTACATGACCGTTCATAGCATTTACTTGTGACTGTTTTTATTTCTGTGATACCAGTTTTATCTTCTTTCATTTCTGATTTTGTTTATTTGGATCCTCTCTCTTTTTTCCTTGATGAGCCTGGCTAAAGGCTTGCCAGTTTTGTTTATCTTTTAAAAAACCAGCTCTTGTTTCATTGATTTTTTTTTTTTGTCTTTATTTGTCTCCGCTCTGATCTTTATTATTTCCTTCCTTCGGATGACTTTGGGCTTTGTAATTCCTTTACATGGTAGGTTAGGTTGTTTATTTGGGATTTTTCTTGTTTGTCGAGGTGGGCCTGTGTTGCTGGAAGCTTCCCTCCTGGAGCTGCTTTTGCTGCGTCCTGCAGATTTGGGAGAATTGTGCTTTTATTTTCACTGTCTTAAGGTATTTTCTGATTTCCTCTTTGATCTCGTCATTACTCCATTGGTTTTTTTTTTTAGTAGTATCTTGTTTAGTCTCCATGTGTTTGTGTTTTTTCCATTTTTCTTTGTGTAATTGATTTCTTGTTTCATACTGTTGTTGTTGTTGGAAAAGGTGCTTGATGTATTTTTAATCTTCTTGAATTTGTTGAGACTTGTTTTGTGGCCAGCATGTGATCTATCCTAGAGGGTGTTCCGTGTGCACTCGCATGTGT